AGGCTATCGTTGTTGTCAGTTATCTAAAGTTGTTTTTTGTTGTGTTTTTAAGCTATCATTGTTGTCAGTTATCTAAATTTGTTGTCTTTTGGTGTTTTTAAGCTATCATTGTTGTCAGTTATCTAAAGTTGTTTTTTGTTGTGTTTTTAAGCTATCGTTGTTGTCAGTTATCTAAAGTTGTTTTTTTGGTGTTTTTAAGCTATCATTGTTGTCAGTTGTCTAAAGTTGTTTTTTGTTGTGTTTTTAAGCTATCGTTGTTGTCAGTTATCTAAAGTTGTTTTTTGTTGTGTTTTTAAGCTATCGTTATTGTCAGTTCTAAAGTTGTTGTTTGTTTTTGGTGTTTTTAAGCTATCATTGTTGTCAGTTGTCTAAAGTTGTTTTTTTTCCAGGAAGGTCTTTGAAAGGAATTTAGCTGACCTAGAAAATTATTACCATAACAACAACAGGTGTGACTTACATATGAGTATTATGACAACAACAGGGGGAACAAGCATGTGAATACTGTAACAGCAGATGAATTCTGGGATGTTTATTGTAACAGTATATAATGCCTTGATATTTTATAAGAAACAAATATAATATTGATTCTGAAGAAAATGGTTTACAAAATTGAGTTAACATAAATACGTGTATTATTCCATATATCAAAATATAGACAGAATAAACAAACCACCGATATGATGTCTTGTCAGTGTCATCCATATAATATCCCAATCACTTCTGAAAAATTGTTCACAAATAAATTTGTCCCGTCAAGCTCACACATTGGCTCAACCTATTGATTCATAGCTCACACATTGGCTCAACCTATTGATTCATAGCTCACACATTGGCTCAACCTATATGAATCAAAACGTTGAGCCAATGTGTGAGCTATGAATCAAAACGTTGAGCCAATGTGTGAGCTATGAATCAATACAGAGAAGTCTTGCAACACTGACACACCTGAAACTTTGCTCACCTGTTTTATCAAGCAATTAGGTTGAGACAAGATTTCAGGCACAGCAGGGGGGCAAATATCTGAAAGCACTTCAGAATAAAGTTGACCTGCTTAACTTGTAACACTACAAGGTGCTTCTTTAAAAAGGACATCACTACATCGTTACAATTGTAAAGTCGTACGATCGAAAACATTTTATTTATCACAATACCACATAACATCAACCATTATATCAAGCACATCGTAAACTTGCATAATATAATACAACATAATCAAGTACGTAATATTTAAGAAAGTCAATGATTAAACATCTCAAAATATTTCTGTACTTAAGAATGGGCCTAACTAGGTCTAATAATGGTTAGTATGGCGGGCTATGAATCGAAAGGTCCAAGGTTTAATGCGGTCTACACTTTCAGTTGTGGGCGAATGATAATCATATTATACGGATCTACCAGCCGGTTAACACCCTTGTGGTCAGTAGTTCAAAATTTGTAATGACCATACATGAACTTTAGGGGTCTTTGTAATGGCCGTTTGGTCTTTATACGCATAAAATGGAGTTCACGTTGAAAATATATTACTAATACATACTGGATCTGTATTTCTTCTTTTGTTTTGTTTGTATGGAATTAAACACAATGGGCTATCTGTACTATGCCCACCACGAGTATCGAAACCCAGTTTCAAGCTTTATAAGTCCGCAGACATACGCTGTGCCACTGGGGGGCATTGCTTCGTAAGTCCTAAAATAGAATTGAAGAAATTATATCAAATCACACAGAACCCGTGCAACCTCCATGGCTGTTCAAGCATGGTATATTGATACCTAAAGTAATCCAGTAAAAACACTTTTGACGTTAGATCATAACCTCATTTGAAAAACTTTAATTTCACACAAACGAAAAGATTAGGCGGCAAATGCGAGTTGTTAAGTAGAAAGTCGAGTGTGGATGTGTTGTTATAGCAAAGCCACAATGGACTATCTGCTGAGTCCACCGAGGGGAATCGAACCTCTGATTTTACCGTTGGAAATCCGAAGACTTACCGCTGCCCCACCGGGAGACTAGAAAGTCCAAAGAAAAGACATTGAAGACAGTGACTGGTTACAACCGTGATCAAAACGGTAAAAGACAGTGACTGGTTACAACAGTGATTATAATGGTAAAAGATTCATACTCGGTAAGTAACGATTGTCAACAGAATCATACTGGGTAAGTAACGATTGTCAACAGATTCATACTGGGTAAGTAGCGATTGTCAACAGATTCATACTGGGTAAGTAACGATTGTCAACAGATTCATACTGGGTAAGTAACGATTGTCAACAGATTCATACTGGGTAAGTAACGATTGTCAACAG